TTCGCAATGCTCAAGGCTGCGGAGGTAGAAATCAAGAAGGATCATCAAGTGTTGATGGTTAACAAGACCACTAGTTTCAAGAAAACAAGCGCAATTGTTTAACGCCCCTAGCTAGGCATAAATCATAGATCTATGTATTTCCATCTTTGGTATGCAATTCCTCAATTACACCATTGGACCTTATAGGAGTTTTTTAATCTTATCTATAATCACGCTCCTTGGTAAGAAATCAAGAAATTCATTCGTAACAAAAGGTTTCTCTATGATATTGACAAAACGAGGGTGAACACTTATCATCTTAAGATCTTCATTATCCCCACTGGATGATTCGCCTCTATTTTTAGGAACATAAACAAACTTAGCAGCCTTGATAGAAGGGAAATTTGGGATAGTTTTAAAGGAAGCAAAATCAGAACCCAAGTTAGTAATAATATTCTCCAACTTATCAATCCTTGTGAAACCTTGATCTAACTTCTCATTAACTATGGGTTCCTTTTCCTTAAGATTCTTCAAAGCAACTCCTACCTTTGATCCATATTGAGTAATATGATTATGAATCTTTTTATCCAAATTTTCAATAAGATCTACAGTAGCAATTTTGTTCTCAATAATATCAAGCCTTTGCATCACATGTTCCAAAGTTAAATCAGCTTCATTAACTGTAAGAGGTGGTGAGCCTACCAAATCTATCATAGCATTGTAAGCATCCAAAGTGTGGCTTCCCAAGAAATTCCCCCCGGTAATGGTATCTAAAACATATATATTGCAAGGAGTAACACCCACATAAAAATTTCAAAGGAGAACGGTAGTAGATTGCTTACGAGTAGATCTATTTTGAGCATTACAAATTCTATACCAAGCATCTTTAAAATGTTCTCCCTCCCTTTGCTTAAATTTAAGAACTTCACTCTCAGGAGTACTAGCAATGATAGGGGGATTAGCCATGAGAGCAAATCAAATGATCTAGCACACGGGCAAACAAAAGGCTAACGAAAAGACGAACGAAAGAAGTGAGAATAAAAAGGAAAATATTTTTGTATTTTTCTGAAAACATTTTAGAATTGGGGGAGAGGAAAACGAGAGGCAAATGGCAAATAATGTAATGCAAGAGATGAGAGTTTATGATGGGTACTTGGTAGGCTTTATGTAGATCTCCCCGCCAACGGCGTCAAAAATTCTTCCTGCTACTTCTTGAGATTACGTTAGTTTTCCCTTGAAGAGAAAAGGGTGATGCAGCAAAGTAGAGATAAGTATTTCCCTCAGTTGAGAACCAAGATATCAATCCAGTAGTAGAAACACGCAAGTCCCCAGTATATGCACCTACACAAACAATCAAATACTTGCACCCAACGCGAAAAAGGGGTTGTCAATCCCTTCACGGTCACTTGCAAAGGTGAGATATGATAGAGATAGATATAAAAGATTACTAAAACGTAAAAGTAAATAAATTGCAGCAAGGTATTTTTGGTATTTTTGATATATAGATCTAAAAATATATAAAGGTAAATAGACCTGGGGGCCATAGGTTTCACTAGAGACTTCTCTCATGAAGGCAAATAATACAATGGGTGAACAAATTACTATCGAGCAATTGATATAAAAGCACAAAGTTATGATGATATCCAAGGTAGTGATTATGAATATAGGCATCACGTTTGTGTCAAGTAGACCGAAACGATTCTGCATCTACTACAATTACTCCACACGTCGACCGCTATCCAGCATGCATCTAGAGTATTAAGTTCATAAAGAATGGAGTAACACCTTAAGTAAGATGACATGATGTAGATGGATAAACTCAAGCAATATGATGAAAACCCCATCTTTTTATCCTCGATGGCAACAATGCAATACGTGTCTCGCTACCCCTACTTTGTCACTGGGTGAAATCACGCAAGATTGAACCCAAAGCTAAGCACCTCTCCCATTGCAAGAAAAACCAATCTAGGTGGCCAAACCAAACCAATAATTCGAAGAGAAATACAAAGATATTAAATCATGCATATAAGAATTCAAAGAAGATTCAAATAATATTCATAGATAAGCTGATCATAAATCCACAATTCATCGGATCTCGACAAACACACCGCAAAACCAGATTACATCGGATAGATCTCCAAGAACATCGAGGAGAACATGGTATTGAGAATCAAAGAGAGAGAAGAATCCATCTAGCTACTAGCTATGGACCCGTAGGTCTGTGGTAAAATAATCACGCTTCATCGGAAGGGCAATAGGGTTGATGTAGATGCCCTCCATGATCGAATCCCCCTCCCCCGGCAAGATGCCGGAAAAGGCCCCAAGATGGGATCTCACGGGAACAGAAGGTTACGATGGCAGAAAGTATTTTGGTGAACGCTTCTGGTGGTTCGGGAATATTTGGGAATTTATAGGCCAAAGAATAGGGTTAGGAGAGCTCCGAGGGACCCACAAGGCTGCCCCCCCCCAGGGTGCGCCCTCCACCCTTGCCATCGCCTCGGGACTCTTCTGACTTGGTTCTCAAGTCCTACGGGTGTCTTCTGGTCTAAGAAAAAACATCATAAAGTTTTATTCCGTTTGGACTCTGTTTGATAGTCCTTTTCTTCGAAACTCAAAAACAAGGAAAAACAGAAACTAGCACTGGGCTCTGGGTTAATAAGTTAGTCCCAAAAAGATTATATAAAATAGCATATTAATGCATATAAAACATCCAAAACAGATAATATAATAGCATGGAACAATCAAAAATTATAGATACGTTGAAGACGTAACAGCCATGAGTTTGGCAAGGGGATACAATAGTGATCTAGGAGTAGATCATTGGACAACGGTCAAAATTTTCCTTAGGGGACTAAGGAAATATTTCTCGGTTATGGAGGTGATAAAGAGTTCGTCGTAAAGAGTTACGTCGATGCAAGTTTTGACACCAATTCGGATGACAATGAGTCTCAATCTGGATACGTAATGAAAGTGGGAGCAATTAGCTAGAGTAGCTCCATGCAGAGCATTGTAGACATAGAAATTTGCAAAATATATACGAATCTGAATGTGACAAACTCGTGACTAAACTTCTCTCACAAACAAACATGATCACAGATTAGTACTCTTTGGGTGTTAATCACATGGTGATGTGAACTAGATTATTGACTCTAGTAAACTCTTTGGGTCTTGGTCACATGGCGCTGTGAACTATGGGTGTTAATCACATGGCGATGTGAACTAGATTATTGACTCAAGTGCAAGTGGGAGACTGATGGAAATATGCCCTAGAGGCAATAATAAAATGGTTATTATTATATTTCCTAAATCGTGATAAAGGTTTATTATTCATGCTAGAATTGTATTGACCGGAAACTTAAATACATGTGTGGATATATAAACAAATATCGTATCCCTAGTGAGCCTCTACTAGACTAGCTCGTTGATCAAAGATGGTTAAGGTTTCCTAACCATAGACATGGGTTGCCATTTGATAACGGTATCACATCATTAGAAGAATGATGTGATGGACAAGACCCATCTGTTAGCTTACCATATTGGTCATTCAGTTTATTGCTATTGCTTTCTTAAATGCCAAATACATATTCCTTCGACTATGAGATTATGCAACTCCCGGATACCGGAGGAATACCTTGTGTGCTATCAAACATCACAACGTAACTGGGTGATCATAAAGATGTCCTACAGGTATCTCCGAAGGTGTTTGTTGAGTTGGCATATATCGAGATTAGAATTTGTCACTCCGAGTATCGGAGAGGTATCTCTGAGCCCTCTCGGTAATACACATCATAAGAAGCCTTGCAAACAAAGTGACTAAGGAGTTAGTTGCAAGATGATGTATTACGAAACGAGTAAATAGACTTGACAGTAACGAGATTGAACTAGGTATGAAAATACCGACGATCGAATCTCGAGCAAATAACATACCAATAGACAAAGGGAATTACGTATGTTGTCATAAGGTTCGACCGGTAAAGATCTTAGTAGAATATGTAAGAGCCAATATGTGCATCTAGGTTCCGTTATTGGTTATTGACCGGAGAAGTGTCTCGGTCATGTCTATATAGTTCTTGAACCCGTAGGGTCCGCACGCTTAACGTTCGCTGACGATATAGTGTTATATGATTTGGTGACCGAATGTTGTTTGGAGTCCAGGATGTGATCACGAACATGACAATGAGCTTCGGAATGGTCTGTAGGTAAAGATTGATATATAGGACGATGATATTTGGACATGGAAGAGTTTCGGGATGTACCAGGTAGAAACCGGGTCACCGGAAGGGGCTCCGAACACCCCCGGGAGGTTAATGGACCATATGGGCCAAAGGGGGGGACACACCAGCCCACAAGGGGCTGGCGCACCCCTCCTAGGCCGCAGTCCTTGGGGAGAGAAGGAGGGGGGGAGTCGGCCTCTCCCTTCCTTTCCTCTCCCCCCTTTCCTTTCCCCTTTGGCAAATATGGGAAGGGGCGCGGCTAGGGAAAGACCCCAAGTAGGATTCGGCCCTATTTGGGGCACCCCTTGGCCTCTTCCCTCCCCCCC